CCATTCGTCTATTTTTTCAACGATCCACGATTTCGAACATCTGTTTTTGAGATATTCAAAAGAAAATAAAGCCATTTTAGCAGAGGGTCCACATATCTGAATATGATGCATTTTCATGTTTTGGGTTATAAAATCTATAATGCAGAGTACAGTTGGAAAAAATATCTATGAAAAAAGAAGATTGGTCGTTCATGTTCATGAAGGGAGACTGTTCATGTTTATAATATAAATACATGTATATAGAACAGTAAATCAAGCTTTAGTCTACGAGTCCATTGGAACTAAACAACCTGGGAGTAGAGCAAACTTAAGACCTTTAAAATAACCCAGGTGGCATGGAGGAGTAAGCATCCTGCAATATCCGCCATGTGCTCCTTGTTATTATCGTACAAACCCAGATAACGTGGACGTATTGACTTAATATTTCCATTTCCAATTGTTTTCTCTATGATAAACACTACGAAAGTGAATCTTGTTAATTTCTCCGTGATACCTGTGGCATGTAAATTTCTCTATTGAAATACTACTGAAAGGTCAAATGTCAACCTGCATGTATACTGGCGTATAAAAACACTACAGAAAAATAGCAACGCAACTTCCTCTGTTATTTTAACATCCACACAAATCTGTTTCCTGACCATGCTGACCAACCTCCGTTTCATCAACTGTGACATATTGAATTCAAATATGGCGGCGGAGAAGTGACCCAGGGCCTATACACGTGTTCGTGCTCCCGACAACCTAAATCTAGGTCACACATATAATTAAAGTTAACAAGATTGCTTTGATCATAATTTAAAATTCTTTTGTTGTTTATTTTATAAATGTTGATATTTGACTACAGTAACTAAATAATCAATAAATTTGATTCGTGTTTTATGGGACTATTCTTTTATAGTAACATTGGACGTCATGGGGCCTCGTGCATTTCAAATCTACTAAATTATACGGTATTTTGATTTATTTTACAATTGTTATTTCAAGTAAAAATGGAAATAGATGGAATCACTGTCTAGTTAGGAGACTATGCCAGGGGCATCAACAATAGTGGGAAACATGTGATAATTTTAGCATAACGGGCTTCGCCCGTTGTGCAAGTTATCCCATGTTTCCCACTATTGTTGATGCCCCTGGCATTTGGGGAACCTAACAATACACAATAGAACTCAGTTCATCTATTGGTCAGACTTATATAAGCACGTCTTTGCCTTTGACCACTATACATTGTATTTTAAAATATGCGTAAAGTCTTCAATGTGTTTTGTTCCTCATACATGTATGTGCCATTTACATGGTTTTGGGAGAATAAATGAAACGGAAATTTAAATATTTATACTATATGGATTGTTCTATGTCATGGTCTCTGATCTTCATTCTAGGATACCTCATCAAGGTATAAAAAGACAAAGATAAGCAGTGGCGGTATTAAAGTATACATATAATTTTTTTTTCCTCTTTGCATTTAGTTTCACAAAAATTATCGGAAAAATTCTTGCATATAAATCACTTAACAATCACTTAATTTTAAGTTTCTCCTCAAATCAAACACTATTGGCAAGTTAACAAACGAACAGTCAGAAAATATACATATTTATTTAATTTATCTAAAAGCATACTATTACAGAAAGTATTTCAAGAAAAAGATATTGAAATGTATAATATATGATACATGCAACAGTTTGAAAAATTGGATAAATTTGATGCCTGAATAAAATATTTCATATAGATGAATAATTTGAAGTAAATGTGTATTGTAACAAAAATATATAAAGAATCAATATCATTTTCTTAATGTAAAAACATTTAATTAAACCTTCTCAATTTCTGGTTGCTTTGAGTATTAAAATTAGAAATATTTAGCACCCACAAATATCAGTTCTTTAAATAAAAATAGTTTTCACAGAATGATTCAATTAAATACATTCTGTTTTGTGGCCTAAGCTCTAAAATTGCACGCAGACTGAAAGTATCCTGGAAGGGAGCAATCCCCATTAAAACATTCTGACATATTTGCAGGACTGATTTAAAAACAGAAATAAAATTCTGAGAAAGTTTATTTGATTCCTCTGTCTAGCTCACGATATTTTCCTTGTCTATCTAATGGGACCAATATAATCAGCATTTTTCCAGTAAAAATTAAGCATCAATGTGAGTAAGAAAAGCAGAAAAGTTTATCTTTGAGAAATGTAAAAAAGATCTTTAATTTAATTCGGAGAATGATTTATTTTTATAAGTGATTAGGATTATAATTCCTTTCATGGAATACACGACATTAAACTACAAAACTTGAGAATTTATGACTGCATATATAGATAAGAATTGGGTTAAGAAGGTAATGTTTAATATACTAAAACGAAAATATTATCTAGAATGTACTTAAAGTGATTCATTTCAATTTTTTAATTTTAAAAAAATCTTACAGCTTCAGAATATATCAAATAAAAAAAAACAGTATATAAACAAAAACAAAAAGCAGAGAACAAAGCAAACAAACAAAATTAAACAAACATACAAACAAAACAAAAACACAGAAAAAAAATGAAAACCAAGGAGTAGAAAGCAAGAACAAAATCTAAATTACAAAAGGAGACAAATAAAAACTGACTTGAAACAAATAAGGGAGAGTAAAAAATAAGCACAAAATAAAGGACCACAAATTAAGATAAAAAGAGCTTTATTGGTGGATATTACGAAAGCTTTCCATAAATAGTACTTCTGAAGAACAAAACCGCTGACAAAAACTCAAGATGAGGATTAAAAAATATGCAACAGATGAGGACACAATTAGGCAACATAAATGTAGATAAAAGAGAGCTTCACGAGAGGAACTTTGAAAGATTTCCGTTAATAGGATCTCTAAAGAAACAGTAACAACTGAGGACAAAAACACCCATGTTATGATGAGGAATCAAATGATGCCATCTTCAGAGATACAAAAGAGCAAACTCAGAAGATTTTCTCGCAAAGAGGACACATGAAAAAGCAATCATGGAATTGATGAAACTAACAGGATAACAAAGATGAAGAAACATCAGCAAAATCATCCACAATCAGATGCCAGATGATGACTAACACAGAGGGAGGAAGAGTGCTAGTGAGAAACAAAAGTGAATAAGAAATAATTAGGATCATAAAACAAACAAAAAAAAAAAAAACGAAACAAAACAAAACCAACCCCCCCCCCCAAAAAAAAGGAAAAGGGGGAAAAGTAAACTGAATAAATAAAATAAAATACATTATGTTATGGAAAAAACTAGGTTCTGTGTTTAAACAAGGATACTTTGTGCCAAGTTTGGTTGAAGTTGGCCCATTGGTTCTAGAGAAGAAGTCGAAAATGTGAAAAGTTTACAGACAGACGAGCGGACGGATAAACAGACTACAGACAAAATGTGAACAGAAAAGCTCACTTGAGCTCTAAGTTCAGATGAGCTAAAAAAAAAAGATATATATACAAGGAAGGATATCGTATTTAGAGATACAAAGAAGATAAGAAATGGGAGTTGAATGCTCTTTAAAAAAAAATCAAATTGGGTGAATTGTTAAGATAAAATCATCTCAGATTATTTCTGCATGCAAAACTGTTGTAGTATATAAAGAGAGTGTACGAAGAAAAATCCTGTTTTTGTTTTGTCGAGTAAATAACTTAAAAACATTATCAAAGCAAATTGTAAATATGGAATAGTAATTTTTTTTTCAATTATTTTGTTGAGAGGAAAATATCGAAGCTAGAACAAGAGAAAAGGTGCAGAATGTCTTTTTTAAAAGGGGCAGAGGATATTATACTTAAATTTACTGCATGTGTTCAAATGTGAAAAGATTATGTGTTAAAACGATATTCTAGAACTATACATTACAAACAGTACGGTCGTGTATAATACAAATTTGGATACACAATTTAAATACTGAGAGTTTCAATTTAAATACCTTTCTGAATGATGAATTAAAAAGATTTTTTTTTCTATTTCTGAAAAATTGCAACCAAGAAATAAAAAAATAAATAAGAAATTGAATCGGAATTCCAAACAGTAAAATTTCAAGTAAAAACAGTCTCTGGATCTTCTAAATTAAACCGAGGTACCAAAATTTTGGTAAAAGTAGCGGTGATGGCGATGCTGATGGTGATGGCGGCGCTGGTGGTGATGGCGGTGATGGCGATGTTGTCGGTGATGGCGATGTTGGCGGCGCTGGTGGTGATGGTGGCGCTTGGGTATTCCAGAGACTCTGTACTGCGTCCCAAATCCAGCTGCATGCACTGATTACACCATCTTTGAGGAAGTTGTGTACAGCATGAAGGATCTCGACTGGTCGAGATCTTGGTGGATGGCCATTTCTGTTCACGTTTTGAGCTATTTCTTCTAACAAATTTACTAGTTCTTGAACTTTCGGGTTTAATTTTGGGGGACTGCTTAAGACAAATCCTTTAAAACAATACATTATAATAGATTAGTTTTTTACCACTAATTTTTTAAAGAGATATCGGCCGTAACTTTAGGCATAGAGGGTATTTATCTTTAAAACCAAAGTTTTGGAAATCCGGGTGGCCATAATTTAGAAAAAAGGGATAAAAACAAATTGGGGAAAGGGGATGATCAACACTATAGATACGTACATACCAGTTACAGATCCAAAAGAAGGATGTACATGACAAATTTAAGTAATTGCAATTGAATGAAATACGGTATACAAAAAAGTCCCCCCCCCTCCCCTTGGAAAATATTGAATAGGCTTCATTAAAGGACATGCTCGATCAGAAAGTTTTAAATACTCGTTGTTAAGGCATTCAATCAAGATCTTTCAATAACACTCGATAATAACAAAATAAGTTATGAATACGAAGAAAAAACCGTCCCTATATAAACAAATCGAATCAGTAAAAAATATCAAAATAATAATCAAATCATATTCAGGATTTAAAGATATCTCGTACATATACATGTACGATGTAATGTATATAGCATTTTTTCTATAAAAAAAAATTCATTCAATAGGGCATACCTGAATTTCCGATAATATGTTGGAAGAGTCCTCGCTTGTTCCAAACATCCAAATATCTGCCGCTCCCTACTATATGGATGGTTCTGTTACTTCTGTCTTCCCATATGAATGGGGTGAGACTATCTCTCCAGACGATAACCCATTTATAGTCAAACTGCACGCCTGCAGGTAACTTTACCCCTACCACCAATCTGCCCGAATGCACGGGAACTTCCTCTGCAATGATAATGATTTTTTTTTTTTTTTTTTTTTAACAAATAACATATTCTGGAATTCACATCCTTCATTGCATTCTTCATTAGAGTTGCATTGCGAAGAAGATACTCCGTAAAAATATTTAAAACAAAAGTGAGTATGGTCAGATACCGGTGCGACATAAACTGAAATTTTATATTTTTGACGGCTAGGAAATTGAAATGTTAGATTCACTAAGAACTGTATTGAAACTAAAAAGGGTTTTTCCACCCCATAGTGAAGATTTGTACTACAATAATAAACAAATGAATGCATTAATTAATCATCATGACGTACATTAAAAATAAAACCCACTGAATTGAAATCTATCGTTAATTATAATAGTTTACTGTTCGTAAATTACAATTTACAATCTATTTACCATGCAAATTAAAAAAATATCAATTTTAAAACTATTTTTCTCTAACTTCAGTGAATTTTGCATGACCATGGTGCCATAGATAAACTGTGATCAGCTTAATCACATGCGATTTTTTTTTCAGTGAGGGGGGTGGGGGTTCGAAAAGTCTGAGAAATATTTGAAACTTCGATTTTCTCTATATTGCCACTTTCTTATATATAAACGTTGTTAACTATTGTTTACGGTCCATAAACTATAGATTACAGTAAAAAACAAGACATAAATTATTTGTCAAACATGAAACTATGTTTAATTCATTTTTATGAATTTTGCATACCAAATCAATTTTATGCATATACATTGAAAACACATTCCATACTCCAATCGTTGTATGAAAATCTGATCAAATTCAATTACAAACAGCAAAATCATTTTCTTTATCTATCTTTATCAAAAGTAATTTAACGGTAAATCAATGAGAAGTCAAACATTTTGTAATCATACCTGCAATTAGCGCATCATTTAAATTCCAGTTCCCTAATTGTGGAATGCAGCCGGTGACTGCAAGAGCTAACTTGTCCAGAAGATTTTCGAACTGACATTGTATTTCTACTCTAAAAGAGCCGAAGCTTGCTTGATTATCACACATAGCCATTTTGTGAAACTATGCAATCAATTGTGACGTAAAAGTACATAAGACATTACTATGACGTCCCAACTTACCTTTTATTATGACGTTTTCATTATGGAGTAATTTTAAAAAGAAGTGACAGAAAACAACATTTCATAACATATATATAAACAGTACAGAATTCTTTATATATCAAAAATGAAATCATGGTCTAGAAAATATAATTAAATTTGCATACTTTATTATATAGAGACTTGATATTGTTGTAAGAAGTAAACTTCCATTGGTTAAAGCTATCCTGGCAGTAATCAAAGTACATGTAGGATATATAATATTTTTTTCAATATGAATAGTAAAGAAAGTAAATTAATTTACACAAAAGAAGTAAAAAATTTATGTCTGTCAGACTGATATGATTAAATATTCATGTTTGAGGAAAAAAATTGTGTATAAATTATTGAAAAGGTGAAGACATACACTCAGTCGCTGCCTTTCTGCAATAATACCTTTTCTTCAAATTATTGCCAATGATAAAATTGGCAGATAATTGATACAGATAGAAACTTTATGAATATTAATATTATTAAAGAAAAAAACATCATCGTGGAAAAGAATCCATCCTTTTCTCATATTAAAAGCACAAATGTTTCTTCTCAAGAAAAAATAATGTTGAAGTATTAAAACAAGAGGCCCAGGGACTACATTGCTCACCTGAGCAACTGGCTAGGTAAAAGCAAAAATCAATTCAGCGTTGAAAAGTTTAAATATAAAAGTGGGTTCAGGGGAGAGGGGGTGGGTATTTGAACAAACTGAAGTCTATATTTCCTATGGATACTTTTAAATAAATTTGATATATAATGGGTTTGCTGTTTTTAAGATCAAGACTTTTATTGATAAGTCTATTCCTTTGTATAACTATGACCAACTTTTATGGCTCCTCTATTCTCCTGGTCGGTCATGATTTGAACAAAAAAAAATAAATCTACATTACCTTTTTTGATGCTATGTTAAACTTTGATACCCGATTGTGGCCCCACCCTACCCTTGGGGGTCATGATTTACACAAACTTGAATCTACACTACCAGAGGATGCTTCCCTATGACCAATCACGGCTTTGCTGTTCTTGAGAAGAAGATTTTTAAAGATTTTCCCTATGTATTCCTATGTTAAACTTTGAACCCCCCTTCCATTGTGGCCTCATCCTACGGTACCCCTGGGGGTCATGATTTGAACAAACTTTAATCTACACTACCTGGGGATGCTTCCACATGAGTTTCATCTTTCCTGGCGCAGGGGTTCTTTAGAAGATTTTTAAAAGATGCCATTTTTTCACTAATTCATAATTATCTCCCAATTTAGAAGATGGGCGTGGCCTTTCATTTGAAAAAAACTTGAATCCCCTTTACCCAAAAATATTTTGTGGTAAGTTTAGTTGAAATTGGCCCTGTGGTCCTTGAGGAGTTCAAGATGAAAATGTGAAAAGTTTGCGCCGCCGACGACGACAACAATCACGCCGACGACGACAGACAACGGACAAATTTTGATCAGAAAAGCTCACCCGAGCCTTCGGTTCAGGTGAGCTTAAAATATGATTTAAAAAATAGAGTATTTTCCGAAAACTTATAGAACAAGGAAAAAACTCAAGAAAGCCTTCAAGTTTGTTAACAAGTGTAAAACTGTAGATTATTTTTTCCTAATTACCACTACACGTAAAAGTATGAACGAAGATGGGCGGGTTCATCGATTGCTTCGAATGACGATTCAATTGTTTTTGCCATTTTACCTTTATAGGATTTTTGGGTGACTATTGCAAGATCAATATTTTATTTGTGGATGACACTATATATAGAAAAGCAAAATAGGAATATTTTCGTATTGATGATATATATATATATATATATATATATATATATATATATATATATATATATATATATATATATATATATATATATATATATATATATATATATATATATATATATATACATGTATTATCTTGAAATGTGTCTCAAAAATGCTTTTAAAAAAAAGAAAAAGAAGGTCTGAGGGTCTTTATTGGGGATGGGGGGTGGGGTCCTGTATTTAAACACCTGTGTTTTCTTTTTATTTTAATCGAAAAGAAGACAGTCTTATAAAATATTTTTTGCTTTACATTTTACAAATACATGTACTTTCATATGGTATTATCAAATATATTTCCCTTTATATCTGATAAAAGTTAAGATCCACACTTTTTCTTTATTTATTTACTTGTCATTCATTTATTGATTTTCATTTATATACTCATTAATTCCAACTTTCTTGCGCATTATTACGGCGCCGCTGGAGGGCCAGGTAAAAAAATATTTTTATTTGTTCGGACAAATTAGAAGTTCGTTCGGACGAATTAGTTATTTGTTCGGACGAATTAGATATTCGTTCGGACAAATTAGAAATTCGTTCGGACAAATTAGAAATTCGTTCGGACGAATTAGTTATTTGTTCGGACGAATTAGATATTCGTTCGGACAAATTAGAAATTCGTTCGGACGAATTAGTTATTTGTTCGGACGAATTAGTTATTTGTTCGGACGAATTAGTTATTTGTTCGGACAAATTAGAAATTCGTTCGGACGAATTAGAAATTCGTTCGGACGAATTAGTTATTTGTTCGGACGAATTAGATATTTGTTCGGACGAATTAGAAATTTGTTCGGACAAATAAGTTATTTGTTCGGACAAATTAGAAATTCGTTCGGACAAATTAGATATTTGTTCGGACAAATTAGATATTTGTTCGGGCAAATTAGATGTTTGCACAAATTATCTTGTAATGAGAGATATACACTTTGTCTATTCAGGAGGATTCATCCTTTTTTAATACATAAATAGCTCTTTGGACCATGATATACACACGTAGCAACTAGACATGTGATATTAAAGTCAGGTATGTTGATTGTAAATATTCGGAAATAATGGATCTATACCGGTATATATTATAGGCCTAAAGTCAGCAATTCTGAAAGTATTTTTTCTGAGAGCCCACTAGTAAATTCAAAGGGTCAGTTACTTCTTATCAAACATCTTTTCACTCCCATCCCTGACTAACACTGGGGTGCCAGTGGTCAGTTACCGCTTCTTTGAAAAGATGAGATCCACTCCTTAAGGTTTTACTCCTACTGCAGGCAATTGGTACAGGAAAAAATTGGCATTGAAAAAGTAAGCCCCCCCCCACCCCACGAAATAGGACTGTCAACTTTGGGCAACTTTTCCTGAGTCACACCCCCTTCCCCTTTTTTTGCTTGTCAACTTTTCAGGTAGCTATTTTTTTCTCAGCCCCCCCCCCCCCCTTCAAAAACGATGCTTCGTGGCTGCATTGTATTATATTGAATAAACTTCGGACTCAAAATATCGAGCCTCTTATTCGAGGGTCTTAATTTTTTTTAAGGTGGGGCTTACTAGCTAAGACATTTGTAGATTTGCTTCTATACCGCTGTTCCCACATTTAAGTATTTTGTGATGAAGGAACAAAAAGAGGGAATCTCATAAGTCCATCTCCAATGGATTCTTTCTAAGATCGTTAAAAACTATTATTAAGTATCTATATAAATTTTATTTCATATTTAAATATCAGAAAACGCATGAATTAAAACATGCAGGTATAATATTGACCAAATTAAACACACGCCCCTTTCCGGGAAAAGGATAAAAAATAGATGAATACATGTACGTTCCTAGAAAGTGCAGTAAAATTTAAAAACACATCATAATTTAATGCAAGTTAAGGTTCTCAATGATTAAGACAATCGATTGTTTTTTAAATAGAGAAGGGGGGGGGTTGTTACTTGAAAATATTTTGACATTCATTCATGATTTATTTTCCCCGTAAAAGGGGTTGCTTTCATAAATTCCCTTTCACTGTGAGTCATTGGCCTATCAAACCTTCGAACTGGTACTCAACTGTAAAAGCGTATAAACAAAATTAAGAAATGCTGAAAGTGGAATTAAATAGTTTGTTCGACTACGTGTACCTCTCCAATAATGGGAGGGAGCTATAATTATGCTCTGAAAATCAATGGACTAGGGAATATACCAGATTGATCGGTTGACCTCGTAATTCACCGGCTCGCGAGTCATATGAACAACCTGGGATCAATACGAACAGGTTCATTTTTGTGAAGTTTTCTAAATTCACAAACAGGAATATTTAATTAAAAACTCAATGAGGACCTTTTAATCATTTTATACACCGCATATGTACCAGATTGATCGATTGAATGTTTTACGCCGAATCGGCAATATTTCAGCTACAAATCGGCGACATATGTATCAGAAATGTATTTCAAATATCATTCACATGTCATGATTAATAACTGCAAGGTAGCGAATATGTACATAAAAATCATAAGAAAGAGATCAACATTAAAACGACTTATCTTCAAAATATTTATTGATAATGTTGTTCATTAAAGTTATTTTGCAAAGAATCAAAATAAAATGAAACGTCTTGGTGCAAACCGCACATTATTCGCGGTGTCCTGATAGTTGTTCACAATTTCTCTAATTTGTCCGAACAAATAACTAATTCGTCCGAACGAATTTCTAATTCGTCCGTACCAATAACTAATTTGTCCGAACAAATTTCTAATTCGTCCGAACGAATTTCTAATTTGTCCGAACGAATATCTAATTCGTCCGAACGAATTTCTAATTCGTCCGAACAAATAACTAATTCGTCCGAACGAATTTCTAATTCGTCCGTACAAATAACTTATTTGTCCGAACGAATTACTAATTTGTCCGAACAAATAACTTATTTGTCCGAACAAATTTCTAATTTGTCCGAACGAATTTCTAATTTGTCCGAACGAATATCTAATTTGTCCGAACGAATATCTAATTTGTCCGAACAAATAACTAATTCGTCCGAACGAATTTCTAATTCGTCCGAACAAATAACTAATTCGTCCGAACGAATTTCTAATTTGTCCGAACAAATAAAAATATTTTTTTACCTGGCCCTCCAACGGCGCCGTACATTATATCTCTCAAATCCGAAAATTCTGAAGTACGACTGACTAATACAAAGAAAAAGTCACATGATCACTATCAAAGATGGCGCGATGTAACATGTAAACAGAAACTTTGGACTGCCATCTGAACCCGGAGATGCCAATCATGTCAGTTAATGCGGTAGGTGAATGATGTGGTTAAGTAATTAGGGCGTGCATTATGCAGTGGTTGACCTAATTCTTAAGACATATACTGGTAAGTGTGTCCGTGTGTCTGTTTTAGCTCAGCTGATCGCACACATGATTGTGCTCTGTAGAAGGAAGTATGATTGGTATAAAAATATATTTGATGATAAAAAGATAGATAGTTCCGCTTTAAAAGGATTGAAAGGTAAGGCTTTATGATAACCGGCTACAATTATACCCGTATATGACAATCATTTGATTGTGAAATAACTGGTTGTATTTGTCCAAATACACATGCAGGGGTTCTGTACATGCATTATGCTTGCAAATGTTGCATGTTATGTAACCCAAAAAAATGCAATGTGCCCATTTTATGGAAGTTATTAAATAGGGCTGCAGAGCTGTGGAAAACTACCGGTCATGCCGGCAAGACCGGCAAAAATGCCTGTGACCGGTAAAAATACTATCGATGTCGGTCCAAATGACCGACCTCTTTCTTTGTAAAGGTTGTTGTTTGTTCATTTTGATTAAGGCCCGTCATCGGCGCACTTCCCAGCTTAATTATCGTACCTTATATACGATTGCGCAATACTTTTTCTTTGCACGAGATCGAGGCTAAAGGAAATGAAAGTAAAACCAGCATTGTCTCGCGTGACCTTTAAAATTTACAAACGGGACAGAATTAGGTAGAAAACATAAAAAAAGATAAAGACAGGCTAAATACCTGGGTGTGTAAAACATTTCGACAGTTCCGACTGTTCTAGATTTCGGTTTGTTTTTTTTTCATTGATAATGTTCATGATGGTATCTTTATTATCGATGCACAGAATTTCTTAGACTCATTTTCGAGGTAAAATATAATTCCCAAAAGCATTAATGTTTTTAAAAAATTAAGTTTACAATGCAGAATTATCATTGTCAACTGCCCAAAAGTGATGAAATCTAATATTACTATAAATGCTCAAAACGAAAAAGGAAGAGGACTTGGAGACTAATTGTTATCATTAAGTAAAGTGTAATTGAGAAAATAAATGTTATTAATTTCTTTTTAATTTTGCAACTTATTATTTCGGACCGGCAAAAATCACTTCGGACCGGCATATTTTGTTTTCTTGCCGGTCCGAATGACTGGCTATCTGAAAAAGTTTTCCACAGCTCTGGGGCTGTGTAATCACATCAATATTCTGGTATATTGCGATTTGTCGACAAAAAAATGTATAATTGTGATACATTTTTACATTAACTCTTCCCCCCCCCCCCCCCCCCCCCCCCCCCCTCCAAAAATATGAATCCATCAAGTTAGATGCAGAACTGTAGCTCTCTGCTTGAGGAAAGTCAGACAGATAAAGCAGAGGGCTTTTGGTATTATTTCTTGTAGTTTAGGCTTTCTCTGGCTTTTAGAATGGTATCCTATAATATATACTGTAACGCAACTTTTATTTGTGTGTGAGAAATTTTCGTTCTCACGAATATTTCTCGCCCTGAACCGGTCCTTAAAGCCTCTGTATCTATTAACAACAGATCCAATGAAGGCTTGATTGCAAAATTTAATCGTCACGAACTAGTTTACCCTAGGTAAATTGCGAAATAAAGTTGTCGTGAATAAAAGTTGGTTTACAGTAATACATGTATATTAAACTCAGAATTTTGATACTTTATTAACCTTTTTATGTTCCAAAACAGTCCTGTATATAGTTTTGTAATGTCGGTTTAAAAGAGTTCCATTTCGACGTCCTTAACCACAAATGGTCTTTTGTAAGTGTTGAAAAGTAAATAAATTATCAACACATTGGAGTTCAATGTATGACTATAATTATAAAATACCATTTTGAAAGCTGGAGAAAGTATAAACTACAAGAAATATTTTAATAATACCCGAAGTGAGTGACAAAAAATCAGCGGCATAAAACGAAGGTTTTTACAATGCTTGGATCTGTAGCTTGCTTAATCTGTCCGAATTTTCTCAAGCAGAGAGCTACAGTTCTGCAGCTACCATCAAGTTAGTCTATGCATAATGTGATCAAGTTAGTTGTTCTGCATGGAAAATTTGATAAAACATGTAACAATGTAGTTGCATTTTAAAAATTGATGTTTATTAAGAATTTTTCTAAAAAGAAAAGTTGTAATTAATTTCCAATTAAATTAAATCATTATTTTTCCCTGTAGACAACAAATGACATGGTCAGTGTGAGTGGTGCTCGGGAACAGAAAGCCAGACAAGCAGGGAACGCAATATATGGCAGTGTCCACAATCAAAACATGACCTCCAGGTAAAATCATTTATAATTATGTAGTGATTCAAAGTGGGGTACATTGTAAAGTGGCTTACATTACTGCCTTTATCACATTGAGGACAATTTCAGAAAAATCAGATTTTGCATTTTGAAGTACAATTCAATATTTTTTTTCTGATAACAAACTGAAAAGTCTAGAAAAAGATTTTTTTTCATTTATGCCATGATGTTTTTTTTTTTTTTTTGAAAACTTAAGTTCTGATAAATTTCCTTTTGCATTTATTAGAAAGAAAATATCTGCCTTATAATTACCATAACAAGGTCTCTACCTTACGTTGTTCTAATCCCCCTCCCCCCCCCCCCCCCCCACACACACACACACACATTCACACACCCTCACTCACACACAATACTGATACAAATAATGATAACAAGTTTTTAAAATTTTCACATAAAAATATGTCCTGTCTTAGTTCTAGTAGTTTTACTGGTAATGGCATGGTTACATTATAAATTAATTTTTTTTGCATAATCATGATAATATTTTATGGTGAAATGTTTTTTTATTAAACAATTGCACCTACATGTGTATTTATATACCAGAAAATTTATTAAATTATCAGATCATGTTGATATTAATTTTGGTGTGATAGTTTTATAAGAATGACTCACTGATATACATGACCACATGGTCTATACTAGTGTGCATTATATTCAACAAACATAGAGTGATGTCTCAATGACAAAATGTTCTTCTTATGAGGTCTTTAAAAAAGACTTTTAATTAAGTATGAAATTGAAACAAAGAAACTGACAACAAATTTTAACGTACTTGTATATAATGAAATGAACATTGAGTATTCACAAAACACAGGTATGGTTATTATCATGTTAATAGCCAAGGAAATTGAACAGGAAGGTACATACAAGTGCTTTTTTGAAGAGTGTTTGACACCTTTGCTCTTTTCAACAATCAGAAATGTACAAATGTTAGGTGCTTCAAGGCTTTTATTTGATACACTGAGGAAGTAATACAGGGTTCTGTAAAAAGTTTTCACAAAATGAATTTTATGTATCAGAGCTATACCCTATTACTGAGTATATATATGTAAATATGTTGATGGTCATTGTTTTGTAATTCAACTTCATAATGCAAATTTAATCCATAAAATGAAATAGTGCATTGGACTATCTTATTTAAAAATTGGCAAATAGGATTATCCATTAGTATGAAAAAGAAAGAATTTCCTCAAAAAGGAATTAACTTCAATAACTACGCGGTATAAGAAGAAAACATATATGAATGCTAGGAATGTATCCTTAGAATTGAGAAGAAAAACTAGGATCCTCCCGAAGGAATCAAGCAGATCTAATCATGAAAGTAGTGTTCTAAGTAAGATATAGTACACAAACTGTGAGACTTAAAATTGGTACATTTGGGTAAAGAACAGGAACACAAATTTATTCATCCAAAATTGCCTAATGTAAAATCAGTAGTACAGAAGCAATAGAACTTTGGAATAATTCTTTTAATACTAGAGAAAAAAATTACAATATGAAATTATTTTTGCATATTATTTGGTATACATGTAATAACTAGAAAACATTAATTCTTGTGCAGTTTCATTTTACAAGCTGCCCAAAATGGGTAAGATTCTATAATTCTGCTAAGATCTGTTTTAATTCATGATCAGGGTAGCCTGATTCAGCATGAGAAACATTTATATTTATGAACAGATTCTGACTATTGGACGGGGGTTTTAAAATTTCATACACTGTATTAATAGTTACACTTAATTGAATATCATATGTTTATGAAGTGCATGCTCATATGATAGTTTTAAAAATAAATATTTTCTTATGAATTCAGTCTCATTGTCCAGAATTGGTATACTAAGTATAGCATGTACTTATGTAATTGTATACAACTGATATTTAAAGATTATAGCAAGGCAAAACTACAATCTATATCCTTGTCGTGTGACATTAATGATATTATATATTATATTATTATTATTAAGGTCTTCCGTCTTCAGCGTAAGACCTTCTTGTTATTCTTAGGTTTCTTTTTCACTTTTATTATTCTTTTTTTTCTTACCGATTTTGTGCACGCGATTTCTCAAAAACGGCTCAATGGATTTCCATGAAACTTTCAGGACTTATGTGACATTACTTGAAACTCATGCATTTTTTTCCGATTTGATGACGTCACTTCCAGTTTGGAGATATTGTCGAATTTATGATTTTTAAAGGGTCAGGTTGTCCGCAGACTTTCTCAATAATGGCTCAAGATAGAAACATGAAACTTTCAGGTATGATAGACCAAAGTCTATAGATATGTATAAGGTATTTCAATTTTATCGGAAGTTCCGCACATCGGCACTCGCTATGGCCCGAAAATAGTCCTATCGCGAATTACACAATTTTTAACAACTTTTCTACAATATCTTTTTACCTGGAAATATTTTGTTAAAATATATAGAACAAAAGAAGTGTAGAATTCCAAGATCTTTCAAATGATATGTCGAAAAAAGGGCTGGCCCCTAAAATAAAGGGCCTAGAGGGGCCGAAAGTTTTTTCTTTATATCTCAAAACTTATTGAGAATTTGTAATACGTCAAAGAAGCAAAGTTGTTCAAAATTTTAAGCTTAATCTATTGACGTCGTCAAAATGCGTCTGGTGTCATCACTTCCGGCCAAACCGGAAGTATTCGGAAAACGCTTATTTTGCCATTCTTGACAAGTTTTTGGGTAACATATGTCTCTGGGAGCATAACAATTAATTTACCGTCCGTCGTCGTCACTTCCGGTCAAACCGGAAGTAGCAAGAAATGGCTTATTTTTGCATTAATTAACATAGCTTTAGAGTATTCAAACCATTTTTGGACGTTATTTCTCATTTTTGTTAAAAATGAAAGCTACTTCCGGTCAAACAGGACGGAAGACCTACTCGTTGCTTTGCAACGAGCTTTGCTCTAGTTATTATTATTATTATATTATATTATTGTACTATGTACCTATATAATAAGTTGATCTGCAGGTAGTACAAAAAGTGTCAGTAAAAGGGAAGTTTGCAGTCGTATAATCTATTTTGAAGTTCATTTAGAGACCCCTATCTTGCCTATTTCATTATCAGGGAGAAAGAAAACAATTTGTAAAAAAAAAAAAATATTTATGCAAATCAATATAAAAATTGTTTTATATATTTTGTTTGTTTTGAATACTAAATGCTAAAAGAAGAACAATTTTAAAATCCTGACTTTTTCAGAGTGATGGACGATAACGACACTTATGTCTACGGACCCGAGCGAATCTCAACTCACCCCTACTCTCACTGCTCCACCATTTCATCTGTCCGCAGAACCTTCTGCCTTCTGGCTCTCTTTGATCTGTGTTTCTGCTTTATACTGTGGGTCATCTATACTCAGGTAAGGGTCAGAGGTCAAAGTACCGACATCATTATGTCATTTATTCATTATGAATTTATTGCATCCAATACACATATAATGTTAGGGTGAATGCAACAAATATGCGTTGATGAATATTTTTACGGCTTGTCATCTGGTTATTGCTCTATAAAATCAAGGAATACTATTTCAAGTGAGATTGAAATTTTTGCGAGAACACTTTCTCACATAATTACACAAAAATAAGTTCTTGCGAATAAAAAGTTATTTACAGTACTGTTAAGTATACGTGTACATACTGTATGCTTTATAATTGGTCAATTTTAGAGAAAAAAAAACTCCATTAAAATAATTAAGAAAATAAAGAAATTTTCAAAACTACCATTATTTTTTTTCAGCTTACAGGTTCAGAAACTGTTTGGGAGGCATTTGAACAGCAGGTTGCTAATTATGGATTTAAAACCTCACTGTTTGACACAGTTGTAAGTTATTTTTATGCGCCCAGATCGATAGATCCAGGGCGTATATTGTTTTTGTCCTGTCTGTTTATCTGTTTGTCTGTCTGTCTGTTGTCAACTTTAACCTTCACCATAACTTACGAACCATAGGAGATAGAGACTTCATATTTGGTATGCCTACTGCACTAATAAAGTTCTCTCAAATGGCAACAAGGTCAATGACCTTGTGACCTTGACTTTGACATATATGCTAAAAATAGCTTTTTCGACTTTTTACCATAACTTTTGAACCATAGGAGATAGGGACTTCATATTTGGTATGCTTACTCCACTAATAAAGTTCTTTCAAATGACATCAAGGTCATTGACTTTGTGACCTTGACTATGACCTATATGCTAAAAATAGCTTTTTCAACTTTTTGCCATAACTTTTGAACCATACAAAATAGGGACTTCATATTTGGTATGCATCCTCCACCAATAAAGTTCTTTCAAATGACACCAAAGTCAATGACTTTGGGACCTTAACCGTGACCTATATGCTAAAAAAAGTTTTTTCGAACTTTGTTGCCGCCGGGTGCATAGTGTTTCACAAACACATCTTGTTATAGCTTTTAATTATCAAAATTTCCAGAAATTTAAGATACAAGGGAAATTTTTTTTTACATATAATATCTTTTAAATACATTCTATATGCAGCCCTTAATTAATTCTTTTCCTTACATATTGTAGATGGTAGCGGCACTTCGATTTGTTTTGATTGAGCTGGGCTACGCATTGTTTAGACTAAATCATTGGTGGCTTATTGCAGTAAGTACCCCATTATTGCTATTTTATACATGTAGTCCACTTATTCTTGTAAGTTCATGTATCTTCAATACTTCATAGTAGGCTACTTGCTTCAAGTATTTTCAGTACTTTAAAGTAGGCTCATTGTTGTAAATATCTGAAGTAATTAATAGTAGAGTCATTATGAAAAAATTTCATCTGACAGTACTTTATAGTAGACTTACAGTTGGTTTGTTAATAAGTATCTTGATTACTTTATAGAAGGCTTATTGTAGGTGCATTGATAGATTATTATTAGTACTTATAATAGTAGATTTGTCCCTGAAAACAGAACAGTATTTCCCTAAATTATATTAATAATTTGGATTTCATGCTCTTTATCACTCACTTTCTTATAGATGAAGTAATGTTTTAACTTCATGAGTGTGTGGAGATAAGAAAAGACAATTTTTTTAGTGCAGGTGTACCAAGTGTACAAGTTAATATACATGTATTTGTTTACATTGGTAAAAACTGAAGCTTATCAGGGAGCTATTAATAATTTTATATGTGTACTTAAAAAGTATTGTTTACCTAATAAAAAAAAGTACTGCAAACAATGTAGAGCATACCATGTTTAGTTTGACAGTATCTTACTTAGTATGGTATAGACAAAATATGTACCATATTACAAATAGATAGAAAGTTTAATATCTCTGATGCTACTGTTTATCTATGAGATAACATTTGATCTTTTGTGATGATAAAATCTCAAGGTAAAATAAAGATTTCTCACACTATATTTATTTTACAGATTTCCACATCACTAACTTGTATATTTTTGATTGCCAAAGTATTTTTATTTGAGGTTTGTATATAATCTATTACTCCAAATTAATACATTTAATGCATATTTGATAAATTCAGCAAACATTTAAGAAATAAAATTGAATGTGGATTAAGATTTCATTCATGTACATTTATACAATAATTACAAGTATTAATTAACAAAAACAAATACAATGAACCTTTTACCACCGCATCCACACATAGTTTTACATGCACCAAAACCTATGAAAACTAAAGATGTCATATTAGTTTGTACATAAAATCATTCCATTTGTTGTTATCTTTCAGTTCAGCCATGCTGGTAAACCTGAGAACCCTCTGAGTTATATTCTTTTATTAGCATCATTTATCATTACGTGGATTGAGACTTGGTTTCTGGATTTTAAAGTCCTGCCAACAGAGAAAAAAATACTACTTAAAGGTATACTGTAAAAGCAGAAAATTTTATTTGAGATTATATTTTGTTTATTTTGTTGCTAACAATAATCAATGTAATTAAATCCCACATGAAATGTTCACATAAATATATATCGAATAGGGTTACTTTTGAAATGATGAAATTTAATTCCCACAAAACTGTTTTAGATGACAACAAAATTTGATCCCAATGAAGTGTTTCTACCGTGTATAAAACTGCATTTACTTTACCACAATAATAACACATATATTAGTACAATCATATTTTTTTAACAAAAATTTGTTGTGAAAGTTTGTGAATTTAATATCATTCATTACCATGATCAATAAAAAATATAAAAAATTAATGTACTGAGCATAAAATGAATTGATCCTCAAAATGTTTATGTACACATTTTAATTACAGCATAGTTGCTGTACATTTCTTGATACTTTCTATATTTAGGAACACACGGTCAGCCAAACGAGAGGACAAGTTTACTGCGGAATGCAGAGGAAGGGAATAGTGTGCCAGACGATGACAAAGATACACGATACTACTCACCTGCAGGTACTGAAGCTTGTTTATGATATATCCATGAGTCGGTATAAAGTGGGGCCTCTTATACCAAGGGTTGTCCCTAGGACCCGGGAGTTGGGGAATTTGCCCACCTTAAATGATGGAATCCCCCAGTTTTTCTGGTATTCCCCATCAACACCTGTAAGGGGTGGAGCCCCAGACCCCTTTTACTGTTTTAATGCCCCCTGCTTTTTCATTTCTTAGGGACAACCCTGTCTACATTTATGTTCCCATGTGTTTTCTCTGAGTACCTCAGATTTCTTTACAAATATTGAAATAACTTGCTAAAATTTTAAATCTGCAAGTTACTAATATGACCAACTGGTTCAATACATGTATATACTATTGTGACACGATAGCGGTGTTTTTCTTTGAAGTTTACTGTTCTGTATTAGCAATACAGAACGGGACTACGGTGGGCGGAGCTACTTTCCGTTATGTATTAGCATTGTATTTGCCAACTATTCTGTATCTAAAATACAGCACGGTCTAAAAATAAATCTGATTCAATTTAGCAAAAGCACGTACAAATAGTAAATGCTGATGTTTTCCTATTACATAAATTTTGGAGAAATACCCGGTATTTTCCTGAGAATGTAAAATGTCAAAAATTTCTCAATCACTTTTTAAAAACTTATTCCACACAGAATCTACACGTAATTTCGATCCAAAGTAAAAGGAAAATTCGCAATAACGGAAAACATCCTCTGTACGTAATTTCGCTCCAAAAGAAACCATGGAAACGGAAAATTCGCAATAACGGAAAACATCCACTCTCCTCGTGCAAAATCATTCAAATCCATTTTTCCGCGTTTTTATTTTTTAAAATCCTTCTCGCTGACGACAGGCACACGTCTCTTAATGTCGCAATTCAATTTGAAAATAAAAATCCGTGACAGTCCATCGAAGAATTTTCTGTAAATCCTGTTTTTGTTAATCTAGATAAACCGGGATTTTAAGACCCCTCGGTGAAATAAATTTATGATAAATCTCCATCTTCAATTTAATAGATCACAACAATGACGGTTAAATCCTCCACCTTATTCATTAAGACTGACTATCACTCGATTACGTCTACCCCATTAAGTAGTCAAAACTAATCTGACCGAATTTTACGTTTTCCGTGGAAATATATATATACTGCAGATGCGTACTCCCCGTCGGGGCCTCATCTACAGAACTCAGACGGAAGTTTAGATGCTGCAAAGTTATAAAGTGGGCGGAGCTATTTTTGATTGATCGTGTCACAAATCATTTAGAGAACTCGACAGGTTCTGTATCGTAGATACAAATTTGGGGGTGGAGACTCGGGCTCGCGCACCCGACTCCGCCCCCAAATTTGTATCTACGATACAGAACCTGTCGAGTTCTCTAAATAATACTTAATTTGTTTTAATGTCATGCATTTAATTATCTGATAGATCTAGACTAATAAATATATATGTATATATTTCCTTATTTGTTCTGTTTTGTGCATTTCTCCAATTAAAATATATGTCATGGAAAGGTTTACATATTCAACATGCACAGTTCTTGTTTTGTACCTTAACATTGTTGAAGTTAAATAGTTTACAATATTATTAACTTCTTACTTGGTGTAGATAACCTTAAAAAAATGTGAATTTCTTGGGATTGTACGTAGAAGAAAAAAGATAATATGAACTCATAGAAATCAGTTTGTGTGGGCATCACTTTTTTTAATCAAAAGTGTATTAATTGCTCTCATTTGACACACCATAGAGAGGGAAAAATAGCTGTTTTTACATTGCACAATACAAAGAGTTCTTGTACACTTGCATGCTGTGGAGTACATGTAGTTGTCTTTCAAAAACTGAAAGAGACTGCCCCCCCCCCCAAAAAAAAAGAAAAAAACAAAAAAAAAGCTGAGTTATCACTTCAAATTTTGAATTCTTCATCTAGGTCAGAGATCCTGCACTAAATGTCAAAATTTTAACACCCCCTCTTTTCTTTATTCACATATTAATCAACCACAAACATATTTTATTCTTTTAGGACAATTAATGAATTGGTGATAACTTTTTATTAAAAATATTAATTCTGTTAGTAAGCAGCTTTCAATTCTGATAATAAAGCTGACTCTAAACTCACTATGTAAACTAATTTGGGTTCCTAAAAAAGGTAATTATACTTTCATTTTGGTCTTTGAAGTGTTATCACATTTTTTTGCGAGAAAAGATAAAGAATATTATGAATATTTTCTTTGTCATACGAAATCCTTAATTTTTTTTATACCTACTTATTATACAGTTGACTGTTATTTTTTTTCATTTAAAGGCATTTGCTATTGTTATAATTTTGTAAACATGTATGTTACAGTAGATATGTGTTATCAAGAATTTAATGTATTTCCTGAATTTTAGGAAGTACAGGAAATCTCTCTATCTGCTTGGGAAATACTTGTATTAATTGCTTTCAAATAAGAAATTCACATGTTTTTTCAATGCTTTTAACACATACACACTGTATTTACTGACAGCGTTGTTTGGTTAGATAATTCTGAATAAGAACTTTTAATTCTGAGGTACATCAATTTAAATGATTTCCTTTAAGGACATACACAAGGTACATTACCTACTGATAATTTTTCAAGATATTCTTAATTTAAGATGATAGTGCCATCAGATGTTCATATTAGACAAAAAATCAGCATGCATTACCAGGGTTTTTGGAAGATATCAAATTACGAAAATTTTTGCATTATTCAAAGAAATATATACAAAAATTACATAACATAATTTCCAGATTTTTTCCATAAAAATTTGTTTTAGAAAAGGTCAACAAATCCATATATATAGACGTTAAAAGTATTGCAAACAGGTCTTTCATTTAGTGGAACTCTTCACTCCAGGGAAGAGCCCAGTGAAATTCAAACTACGTTGCGTATACCTTAAAACATATTGATACTCAATTAGTAGTAAAATTCAGCAGTTAAATGGTAAACATTTAAGGAATAACTGTCTTATTTTTCGGATTCATGAAGTGATCAATGGATTGGTTTGTGTGATAATTTGCATAAACGCCGAAGGCATTTATGCATAAAATTATCACACAAGCCAATCCATTGATCATCTTCATGAATTCGAAAAATCTGACAGTTATTCCTTATATTTACATGCTTTGATTCCGCCAATCCACGGGCTCCAAGCCCTAGGTGTTGTCCCGCCTTGCACGTGGTTTTTTTGGAACCGCGCCAAAACATTCATGAGGAAATCAATTACATTTACAATTGGTAATTTTATCTCGGACAAAGACATTGGAAATGTAAATATATAATTATATCAAACTATCTCTCTTGATGTAATAAGCATTCATATATTTAATTTTTGTCCAACGCATGTTAGTAAAAAAAAAAAAAAAAAAGAAATGTTAAGAATGTTATTCATGGTGAAGAAAATCACCGCTTTTTCTGTTCTTTGAATTATTGAAAATGCCCATTTGCTTTACGATTAATTTTGAGTGGTGTCTTATAGATTTTAAAGTCTAAGTATAGTATACATGTATTGAAATATCTTAATTCTTTTAAACAAAAGATACTAGATAGTAAATTTTAATTTTCAGAGGTAAGTTACAATTATTTTTTTTCTTCCTGTCCAATTAGTTAACTGACGGTTAAGATGTAGGTCACAGAAACTGGATAGGGGTCAAACGGAGGCGTTATAATAAAATTGCGTTTCTTTGACTGTCGTTTTTGATGTAAAATATTGGCCATTTGGTGTTGTGTATTTGGCCTTTTAATTCCGTAATCGATTGACTTTGATTGCCTCCTGAATAGACGTCTTGAGAAAGAAATCGCGCGTATCTGGAATTTAGTAAATTGAAATTATCAACTTTGCTTTGAATCGGTGCCTTTTAATGAAAAGAAAACAGCGAATAAAATAAACAGTTTCTTAAATGCTTTTGGAAAACGAAATATCCATAAAAGCACCAAGTGGGTGTATTAATTCAAGCAAATAAATATTGGCATTTAGAACCATTGGGTTTTCAAAATATATCAGAAGCAGGGGAAATCTTTATAAGCATTTAATATCGTAATTATTCAATCATGAATCTCTACTCAAACAAGGTAAATCGATCGTGACTGGAGATCGATACTCATAATCAGTAACCGTGTCAATTTCTGGGCCATGATTTTTGATGTTTAGGATTTAAATGACCAATTTGAATCATACTACGTTGAGCGTTGTCGATCTTCAGATTTCTATGTAAACTCTGGGGAAAGCAAAGATGAGACAATATTAAAAAAGATAGAGGTGTTTTGGGATATAAGATTTAACATGTCTGTGAAAACTGGACGAAGTAAAGTTTCTCATCTGTCCTTTATCGACAGGATTAAACATAAAAAAATTACACGGACAGAACACCAACATGACCAAGGTAAACATTCAAAATCTTTTTTTTTCAGTTTTAACTAATTAAAAGCGTATATTTTTTTAAATTCGTTTATGTTAACTAAAAATTGGTACGAGTTTTTATTACTTGATGTTAGACACGACTTGTATTTCCCCTCTTAGCGGTAACATGTATCAGCTCAGAAGCTGTATTTTAGAAGCTCTATTCGGAGTTATATTATTAAACATTGAATTTATTTTTCAATTTTCTGAATGTTTTTGTGGCAGGCCCATGGCAACGTTTTTTTTTTCTTCAAAATACGGTAATATGGAAAATTAAAGTGTATATATCTGGAAAAGAGGGTGTTTTTGTTTACTTTTTTTTTTTGAATTAAAAGAAAACCATATCTCTTGCTGTTGAATCAAAGCTATTTACGACAGTTTTACTTGTTAATGAACGTAAGAACTATAGGATTATGTCTATGTAATCAGATTTATTTCCTTGATATTATTACGTTAATGCTGCAATAGTGAATACTCTCTGATTTTATTTAATACGTTACGTAATTTGGCGTAACATTCGGATGTTTTGCCGAGGAAACCCTGACATTTAAACACTTCATGTAGTGAAAACATGTTTAATTTGGAAATAAAGAGATTAAATTACATAATAAATTCTCAATTGATTATTTAACGTAACTTGTCCGAATATTGGAGTTGTTTTTTTATGAGTAATGAGACTGTTAAATCTTTAACAGTAATATAAACTATTACTTTACTGCTATCTTACGTATTTTGTATACATTAGCGGAAGCCATTTTCATACGTAATTTTATGCATTTTTCAGTTCAATGTCACGATATCGTCTTACAATAAGTTATCCTTCCAGTTTAAAAGTGCATTTTTAATGCATCGCTACATTTTCTCGATGCGTTATTCCACTGACAACAATAAATCGGATATATAACAATTATAATGCCGAGTTCCTTCTTGAATTTTAAATGAATCCTTTTATACAACATCATTGCAGAGTCTGGCTTGTTCGAGCGTTAATTTGCACAAATTTTGCAATATTATTGAGAGGTGACGATATGGCGTTTTCTATGAAAAATAAATTTATACTTAGAAGTGACATTCATTGATTTTATTGAATTTAATGGTTTATGTGGGTGTTTAGAAATAAAAAAAAATCGCGATATAAAAGATTGTGCGATTTTAATTGCATGAAAAAACTAACACTTTTGCGACGTTTAAAGCTCTATTTTTCACTTTCTTTTATATCAAAAGAAAAGCCTTAGAAATCCCAGTAAATGTGGTGTTTTACGGGGATTTGAATTCTAAGAAAAAGCTGACTGTCGATAGAAAGTATTAAACAGAATTTTTCAAATAAAATTCTACAAATAAGGAGTGGTAAAACTGTATATTGTTGAAGTAAAACTCTAGCTGCAATATTTGTGAATAATAATTTGAATTTTCATCCATCGGCATGTTTACGTTTTTTCAAGATTTTGTAAAATTAATTCCCGACGTCTGGGGGAGGGGGGGGGGGGAGTGTCCCACAGCTTTACTTCTTTTACTTATGTGCTGAAAACAAAAACAAAAATGCACTAAAAGAGCCAAACTACTTTTATGTTCTTCAGCATTTTTGATTTTGATGATTTTGTATTTTTGTTAATTTCAGGGTCAGACGATGAGAGTGACATGGACCGGTACCGCAGCGTCCCCGCCTCCCGATCACACAGCCGAAAGGCAAGTCATTCCTCCGTTAACAGTATGCTGATCAGTCAGGTAGATGGCAGAAATCATTATCTACCAGCCTCGATCCCACATACCAGGCTACTTAGCTAATCCTTTCTGGAGCAGCTTGTTAGATTATTCACCTGAACACAGCAGCAAACTTAATACAACGCTTCACCATAGCAAACTTGGTTGAATAATTTGAAATGTAGTGGATTAGTGTTGCACTGTGCACTTTTCATCAGCTGAATTTTTTGATGGAAAAATTGTTGATTTTAGGATAATAGGTTACAGAAAGCAAATTTCCATAAAATGGCAGTTGCATTACCATGCATAGAAATATTCTTGAATGAGTGTCATCTCGTGAAGATAATGTTCAGCTATTTGAATTCTGTTTTTAGGGTTAAATTATCAAATTTTGATTATTTCTAAATGTAATCTTATCAAAAGTTTTATTAAAAAAAAAAAAAAACCTGCAAATTCACAAGCCTTTCACTGAAATAAACAAAAGGCAATACTTAAAGTTAACTAGGCCAGGTAAAATTCTCAAACAAAGTGCTTTAATGGTCTTTAACAAACATTAAAACAAGACAATTCTGCCAGCTAGGATAAGTCTACAAATTTAGACAAGTGCTGTCATGATTGTTAATATTTACATCATATTAATATTTACATTGTATATTTTCTACTTTCCCTCAGTCTTAAATTGATAATACCGGTACAACAGAAATTTTATTAAACTGTTGTTCAAACAGGCGGTGAGCTAATATAACATCAATCTGATTAAAATCAGATCTTGGATGCTCTTTTTTCAGCGATTTGTTGACATAACTTAATGTATTATTAAAAAAGGAGCATCGAGGATCCAATTTTAATCAGATAGGTACAACAGATAATTATTATTGCAGATGTTTTTGATGTTATTTTGATCAGTTTTTCACTGCACAAGGTGTGCATACAAACAAAATATTAGAGAACTGATTTTAACAAGCGGCATGAAAAATAAAAAGTTATATATATAATGGCAATCTGATTTCAATACAGATCTCTACATGGCGTAAAGCGCAGATTGATTAATCATCAGATTGATATACGAGTAATGGATGTCAATAATGAAAAGATATTTTTTATAACAGCTAGACTTCCTGAAATAGTCGTACTACATGTATCAGTTGGCTTAATTTTTAATGTTATATTTCCTGTAGGTTTACATCCTTGTAAAATAGGTTTACATCCTTGTTAAACAAAAGCCTGAAAAATGTACTATTTTATATCTTTTAGTTTTCATTTCAATGATTTAAGGAAACAACATGTCATTGAAATTATTTCACTAATATATGATGTAAAAGATAGTTATAAGCAAGGATTTTAATAGAAAAGGTGTGTGTGGGGGGGGGGAGGGGTTTAACCATTATACAGTATTTCAAGACACTATGAAAGGAATGTGAAGTTGTCAGATACATGTAATTACATGTACAGTACTTCATTAAACATTTACTAATTTAAAAAATTATAAAATAACCCTTTTCTTCCCCACCCCAAGTCTAACAAATGATGATAGAAAGGTATAAATATCTAAATTTAGAATTAAACCTGAATCCTTTTTGTTTTTAATTGAGTACATATGTTACATTATACATTGTATAATTTTGAAATAACAGAATCAATATCTGGTGATCAGCAAATTCTGAAATATGAAACCTAATCACATGCTTTGATAATTTAAACATGTTTAGAATAATTAAACTTTTAAAAAGAAAACTTGAAAATTAAGGTCCGATTTCATCACTTCTATTTTCAGGACCTTGAGTATTTGAAGATAGCTAAGGGTGCCATGGACATGTTATGGGAGCTGGTGAGAGAAGAAGGATGGAATATAGAAAAGGAGAGGGAAGAGGACGTAGTCAAAAGTGCCTACATCAAAAAACTCAAGAGGAAAATCTACAAACTAGAGGTAATATATGCTAAAAAATACTGTATAAATATCTTGAACTCAATGGGACAGCGATAAAGAAATCTAGATATCCAAATGAGATATTGGGGATAAAAAACAGGTGGTTCTTTGAGATATCCACAGAATTGAAGATACATAATATCCAAGACATACATCATGAGTATGTATTAAGTAAATTGATTAAATAATAGAAGTATTAAGAAAAGAATTATTGAATGATGTAATACAAACTGACGTAATTTTGTAATTCTTTATAGAGTATATTGGATATTAGTCCCCATGAACTCTGGAGAGACACAATTGAGAATATAAATGAATCACCAAGTTGGAATCCAACATTGCTAGAAGCAAGGGTATGAATAAAAAAATATATGTATATACCTATTTTGAATATTTGGTGTGTGTTGATAATGTATTGCAGATCATGATGATTTTAAACCAGGTTCATAATACTTGAAGGAAATTGTATGAAATAATTTTCAATAAGCCATGGTTTACACATAATATAGCAATAATTAATACATGTTATCAATATTTTAAAAGAAAGAACATCTCCAATCACAAATATGTCTTGCTAAATACTGTGTAGACTTTTACTTCAAGTTTGTTATTAAAAATAATTTATCAGTTTTATATCTAGAATATGATAGGAATGATTTTATTTCTTGAAATAAACTTAAATTGCCATAACATCTCATTAATATTAAATATTTGCAGACACTACAGGTAGTGGATGATAGAACAGACATATGTTACAATATAGCAGCTGAGGCCGCGGGGGGTCTGGTGTCCGCACGGGACTTCATAAACTTACGACACTGGGGGGAGAGGAATCAGACCCTCTTCATCGCAGTGGATGGGGCCACATTCCTCGACATGCCTCCACAGAAAAAATATGTCAGGTTAGTTACACGTAGCAAGGTCGATATATAAATATGTCAGGTTAATTAGCCAGGTCGATATAATCAATAACAATTTTAAAAATTAATGAAGTTTGGAGTAAATTTATTGCATTTCCTGTAATAAACAAGTGTTAAGTGTATATTACATTGTATTAATAAATGAGATTTCTACTGAAGGCTACTTTGTGAATAACAGAAATTCATTATTTGGATAGGGGTGTAAGTGGCCCTGGAGGAATGGTGTTTCATCGTATTGATGGACAGCCCAATAAATGTAGATTAGACTGGTATCTAAACACAAATCTAAAGGTAAGGTGAACTTCTATCTAAATATCTATTATTCAGTATTTGCTATACACTTAATTTGAATTATTTAAAAGAAAAAAAAGTATGAAATTGGCATGCAAAAGCTTTTACTTTTTCAAAACAAAAATAATATTCTGATATAGAATGTTTATCAAAATATCCATAGAATAAAACTGATAGAGAATCTCTATTTCTGGGATAAATTTTGATTTATTAATTAATTAGAGCATGTCTTTACATGTGTACACTTTGCCCCAAGAATATCTGAAATTGATTATTTACAAATTGACAATAAAATTACACTGTATATACTAATAATATAAAAATTCTTAAATCAGTTTTAGTGCTTTAATCAAGTGATTTCTATAATTATCTAATTATAAATGCAACAAATGTGGGAAAGTTATAGTCGATTAGAAATAATTAATTTTTATCTATCATATTAATATTGATCTGTATATGATTTCTGTTTGGCAGGGCTGGATACCCCAGGCTGCTATTGACCAAGGCCTGACAAGTGTTTTAATGGATTATAGTAAATACCTCAGACTTCATATTCTGGAGATGAAAACTAGAAACATAAGCTAATAATGAATGACATAGATCTACCAAATCCTGTGTTGTAAGATGGTTATGTGATTTATTGGAATGTCTAATTAGTATTTATATTAAGCAAGATTTATAATTAGGAAGTGAGCAATTCATGCATTTGAGGAAAAGGCAGTATTTGAGATGTCCTATTGTTTTTAAACAGGCAGTATTTGAGATATTGTCATATTGTTAAAAGGGCAGTATGTGAGATATTGTCATGTCCAAAAGGCAGTATTTGTCATAATGAGATGTTGTCACATTGACAAAAGGGCAGTATTTGAGATATTGTCACATTGACAAAAAGTTAATTTTAGAGATGTTGCCAAATTTTGTGAGATACATATTGTTCCATTGACAAAAAGGAAGTATTTGAGATATTGTCACATTGACAAAACACAGTTCTTGAGTTAATGTCGCATTGACGAAAAAGCTGTTTTTTGAGTTATTGTCACATTGTCAGAAAGACAATATTTGAGATATTGTCATATTGTAAAAAGGTAGTATTTGAGATATTGTCATATTGTAAAAAAGGCTGTATTTAAGATATTGTCTTAAATATTGATCATCTACTTACATATTTTATTTATTTTAATTCTTTGTTTGGATGATTTCCATGCAGTGACTTGTATATTTATGATTGTTTTTTTTAAATCTGTGCAATTTCTGAAGTTTCAAGAGGAGGAAATCTAGTTGAAATGATTAATTTCAATGTTTTATCTATTTTAACACTTAATTTTATGATTTGATTATATAGTATAATGAGATGGACATTAATTGTTGAAAAAATTAACATGATTTAAAATTCAAAACATATTTGTTTCAAAATAACTGTATTTTGATCACACTTTTTTGTTCCCTTTTTAGAAATTTTCCATATGTAATCAATATCTCATAAATTTTTTAAATTATAATACAATTATAGTGTATCCACTCTCTCCCAGAGAAAAAATGTGTGTATTTTGTCTGATTAAAAAAAATGTCCAAAAAAAAATTTGAGTCATGACATTGAATATAATATTTTAAAAAATGCAGGGCCCTATTTATAAGCAGTTCAAATGGTTTATTTTCTCCCCACTGTATGGACATGGCTAAATCACATTTAGTTGGACATTTTATCAGATGGACAGAAACTTTTTTTTAATAGAAAAAAGAAAAGAGTTTCTATAATTGTTGACATTTAAGTGGCTGTTAAAATGAGGTTTTGGTATTTGAGCAAGTGAGTTTAAAAAATACATAAATCTGTTATTAACCATATACCCCTTCTCTGCTACCCTCTTTTCACAAATGGGGGAGATGGAGGTGGAGGTAGGATTTGGAGAAAGAATTACTTGATTTTAATACAGTTTACTGTTAAATAAATACATAAAATATATTTTTTCCTTTCGCTAAATTGTCCACTTAAACATGTATTCTGGCTTAACTTAAATGTCCATTTACACCTGTTAAAATAAAGTCTGCTGAAAAATCTCCTTCTCTCCATTAAGAAATCAATTTTCCATTTTGTGTTGATTTTCTCATCAACAGTTTCATTTACATAATGATATTCTGTCTTATCCATATGTCCATTGGCCTTCAATTTTATATCCAATCATGTCTCATGTAAATTTACGAGGTATTTTATGTTGTACTGTTTTTTATTGTAAACTTTGACAAGTGGTTGTTTATAATGAAGTACCTGTAATCTGTATCGGTACATAGGGGGTATTGATATCCCTATAAGATTTTTTTTCATACATTAAGTGTACTAGTATATGAATTGATACCCAAAGAGAAATATGTAAATTCCTTCGATTGATTTATTAAACTTGTGAAATTTTCACAATTTCACATTTTTGTGAATTTTCGCAAATAAATTTATAAAAGTGCAATTTTATAATTTATTTGTTTTTAAAACAATGTTTTTGAAACAATAAGTTTGTGAAATAGGAAAGTATGATCGATGTATAACAGCACAGCTAGTGTCAGATGGAAACAATTAGAAGTAGAAAGAATGATTGATTGATATCGTATATTATTTACCGTCCCTCTGGAGAATTTTTTACTCGTATGGAAACGCAAACATTTCCCGGTGGAGAGCTGCAAATTTTGTCATATACTCGGCACTCAGGGCCATTGAGTAGGGAGGGATCTTTTCCGTGCCAGTACCTACTGTAACACAGGACCTCGGTTTATATAGTCTCATCCGAAGGACCGGTCTCCACGTCCCACAGTGGGATTCTAACCAGCAACATAAGGATCGACTCCATGCTTGGCAACTCTAGAGCAGACGCTGTAACCACTGCTCCACGCAGGTGACTAAAAAGAATGATATTCAACCTGTTCAATTGAAATAAACCACCCAAAATATCAATGTTACATGTATGAACATTTGGCATGTCAAATTAATGTTGAAATATTCGATCAATTCCATTTGTATTGTATGATATTTCATGGTATTTTATAACTTTCCATTTGTATTGTATGGTTTTTCATCTGTATTCTATAATTTTTATTTGCAGTGTATAATTTTTCCCATTTTATTGTATGATTTTTCATTTGTATTGTATAATTTTCCATTTACATGTATATTCTGTAATTTTCCATTTGAACTGTATAATTCGTTATTTGTGTTCTATGCAAATGGAAAATATAGAATGCAAATGAAAAACTATGCAATTCAAATATAGAATAACAATTAAAATTTTGCAATCAAATGGAGTATTATAGAATACAAATCAAAATGTATACAATACATGTACAAATGGAAAATTTTAGAATACACAAAAAAAATTATACAATACAATTGGGAAAAGGTCGAATATTGCAAAGTTTGACATGTCAAATGAACAACGTAGTGTCTGCAAATTTCGGATACTACTAATACACTAAAAAGTTCAAAGAAATCTAACAGGGGAAACGAATCTGAAGAAAACCTCTGTCAAATAGATGCCTCAACGGCAGAAAGAAAACATAAAAATGCAAAGTAACTGCTCCAAAAAAACCCTGGGCAACTTTTTTAATGGATGATAAAACATGAGTGTACCATTTTTGAGATGCCAAGGAAGTTGGATAATAGAGTCAGAAATCAGAGAGGTGGGTACTTGTATATATTCCTTTTTATCTCGGAAAAAAACCCAGCTGAGCTCTGTAAAGACGTCACACATACAGTATTTCATTTTACTCTATATATATCCATAGGTACTCCCTATCTAAACTGTTAAAAAAAATAATACTATCAACTTATGTTTAGGCCAACTTTAAAATAATGTTTGCTAGCCTTCTCCCGATTAAGGGTAAAATTATTAGGTAGGTTCACATGTAGTTAGGTGGGAAAATCATTTTTCAAGAAAATTGCAACACATTTTTTCACAGGATAGGAGGAATAAAAAGGGGAAAAAAGTGTCATTGAATGTAAAAAAAAAAAAATTGAGTCGGGCCATTTTTTAGTCAGTCCGATCGGGCGAAATCTCCCAAGCAATCTTTTTTTTAAAGATGGCCTTATAGTATATTAGATTTTTTAACAGTTAAGATGGGGAGTGCCTATCTAGATATCCACTAGTACAGGTATATACAGTGTACATAGTACTATTTACACCCGAAGAAAGTACAATCTTCAACAGAACTTTAAAAAAAAAAAAGAGGAAAATCGGTCCATGTAACACTTAACAAATCAAATTTCTAAAATGATTTTGAGTTTTAGAATGTTAATATATTAGTTTGAATTTCTAAATTTAAAAACTCAAATTGATTCAATTGGTGTATTGAAATTTAGTTCAAAAATCGAAAATTTCAAATTTTCAAATAGGTTTTCAAAATTTAGTATTTTAGATTTTTACCTTAAATATTCAAAATTTATATAATCCAAAATTGATTTTTTGATTTTAAACTTTTGCGTTTTTTTTTTATCTACCGTTTGTTCAGAAAGTTTATGCTTTGACAATCCAACATTCAATAACAAAGTTTGTGTTTTGATTATTTAAAATTTACTACAAACTTCTGAATTTCAACTTTCAAACACTTGAGTTTTAGAATTTTACTTTAAATATCCAAAATATCAAACTTCCAAACCCGATTTGAATTTTGAATTTCAGTTCAATATTCTAACTATCTAAAAGCTCTTTTGCTTAACCAAAAGTGTTTTTGAAATAGTTTCAAAATTCAAAGCAGGTTTGGAATTTAATATCTTGGATATTTGAAGTAAATATCTGAAAATTCCAGGTGATTTGGTATTTGAAATTTGAATGTTTGAAATTTCAAAAAATCTAAAACGTTTTGAAAGTTGAAATATAGAAGTTTGAAGTAAATTTTGAAATATCAAAAGTCGTAAAACTGTACTGAACTTTAGATTGTTAAGCGTAAACTTTCTAAAGAAACTCTAGATTAAAAACTCAAAAGTTTAAAATACAAAATTTTTGGAAATTTGAATTTTGAATATTTATCACAGTGAAAAATTTACTGTTCCAGAAAAAAACAAAACTTTATTTTGGACTGAACTTTTAATAATTTCTAATTTGTATCAAGACAGTTATATTTCATTTCTCATGATATGTTTCATGAATGGTTTGTTTAATTGTTTAATTGACCAGTGACACTTTTTGGACTATTGATATGTTATATTTACAGAGAGACCAGTTTACCAGTTTATTAACATCTCTTTGGTTGTTATTTAACAACACAGAGATCAATACATATTAATATAACATATATACATACATGCGTGAGCATAACATATAACATATATACAAAGTGTGTTTATAATCAAGTATTTCCATATATGTTTACATTGATGTTAACCTGGAGGTTTGACTCTCTCGTTTAAAATTTTAATAAAAGAACAGAGTTTACTCAATAGTCCAACATTTTTTGAAGAAAACAATTCATTAAATTTGATAATATTTGGTCTTGTAAAATAATATTTCGGAATGTACAATTTTCTTTCATCTTTTAATTTTTCACAACATAAAATATAGTGGAATTCATCACCAAGATCATTTTTGCATAAAAGACATATTCTATTAATTCTTTCAGTACCTTCCCATCTTCCTGTTTCAATGGGTAATTTATGGTTTGCTGTTCTAAATCTAGCTAAAATTTGTTTCTTATAATTATTTAACCTGCTATCTACATAAAATTGACATCCAAAGTGTAAATTTGTAAATAGATTATATGTCACACCTTTTGAAGAATCTTTACAGGTTGAATTCCAATTTTGTTGAAACTGATCTAGTAATTTTTGCTTCAAACTTTTAATAAGCCAATTTCTATTAAATAATTGATTCTGGTTCCAAATATTACTATATCCACAATTGTCTAAAATTGATTTCAAATTCTTTAACCATTTAGATTCATGTCCATTATCAAATTTTGCACGAAGTAATTTATACATTAAACAACAATATTTTGATTGTTTTCCATATAAAATTTTTGACCAGTATGCAATAATTCTTGTTTTGATATGTATACTTAAAGGTACTCTACCTAATTCACCATAGATCATAAAATTTGGAGTACTTGGTTTTAAATGAAAAAGCATTTTACAAAATTTTAAATGTACTCTTTCTATCATTTCAACATTACCATAACCCCACACTTCACAACCATACAATAAAATTGGAATTACAATCTTGTCGAACAAATACAATTGGTCATAAAGAGAAAGATGTAATTGGTTACCCTTTTTTAAAATACCATACATAGCTTTCGTTGCTCTTTCAGTAGCATATTGTTTTGTCTTAATAAATGAGCCTGTTGTTGAGAATATAATTCCTAGATATTTGAAATGTTTAACAATTTCAATTTCTTTGTTATTGTAATAAAAAACTTTATGCGGTATACGTCCCTTTGAAAAAATCATTATTTTTGTTTTTTCTATATTAACTTCTAGCTTCCATTTTTCACAATACAATAAAAAACTGTGCAACTGATTCTGTAAATCTTCGGGTGATTCCGATAGTAAAACTGTATCATCTGCATACAAAATAATCAGCATTTTTAACAAGACACCAAGTTCTTTTTCAATCTCATTTGATATTGTTGAGATACCAATATTGTTATGTGCAATTAAAAAAGATTCTACATCATTCAGAAATAAAGCAAATAAAAAGGGCGATAAGTTTTCCCCTTGTCGTACCCCTATTTTGCATGGAAAATATTCAGTAACCATATCATTAACAGCTATTCTGGATTTACTTTCAGAGTACATTTTCACTATAACTTCAAAACATTTTCCGGTAATATTATTTTGAATGAGTTTTTGCCACAGTCCTATTCTCCATACATTGTCAAAAGCAGCCTTAAAATCTATAAATGCACAATATAGTTTCTTTTTCAATAAAAAGGATAATTCGATTAGCGATTGTAAAGTAAAAATGTTATCTATTGTAGAATAATTTGATCTGAAACCCCCTTGATTTTCATTTAGTATATCATATTGCTCAGCATAATTATTTAATCGTTTAGCTAAGATGGATGTGAATAATTTACCCATGCAACTTAATAAAGTTATAGGTCTATAGTTTTCAGGGTCATTGTCGTTCCCCTTATTTTTATAAATAGGCAATATATCACCAACAATCCAAGCTTCAGGTAAAATTGCTGAGTTAAAAACAATATTAAATAACATAACATATACCGGTAACATAATACTAGCAGAGGATTTTATGTATTCATTATAAATTTCATCACTTCCAGAACTTTTGTTATTTTTAATATTTTCAATTGCGTGTTTTATCTCATCTTCAGTTATCACTGAGTCTAGTTCTTCATTAGTATATGTATTTCTAATCTCATTTGATAGTGGTTCGTCATTATTTACATCACCATTATTGACGTTTTTAAAGTAATTGTAAAATTCATCAATATTAATATCACATTTTTTGTTGTTCGGCCTTTTATTAATTATTTTCCAATAACTTTTTGGATCGTTACTTCTCAGTTTTCTAATTTTTTTCATAATTAAATTTCTATGTTTTTTCATACTTTTATCCATAGTATTTTTATATTTACGTTCATTGATACGTACTTCTTCTTTTAAGATGCTTGAACGATATTTCCTAAACATTCGTTTTGATTTCCTATATTTTTTTTGTGCTATTTTGCATTCTTTATCAAACCATTCTTTTCTTTTCTGTGGTAGTTTATTGTGAGTTTGGCGAGCATTAAATATTCCAAAAGTTGTGCGTGCCGAGTCAAGCAGTAGACCTACAGTGTCTGAAAAGATTTCATTAACCTGATTTTTATTTAAATCATTGATATCAATATTGCTCAAGTCATATTTTAATTTTCTTAGAACATTTAAATCAATATTTTGACAAAATTCTTCTGTTTTTTCATTATCCCATGGTTTTATCTTCTGACATGAAAAATTATTTTTATTTTTCTTACTTTCTTCTTTAGTTTGGTAGTTATCATTTGAGATATATGAGTTCACACTTATTTCACAAAGTAGTGGCATATGGATATCAGAATATAACCTATTGAATTCTAGTACAGAAAAATTTTGCACATGTTTCAAAAATTCAACACTACATATACAATAATCGACCACACTTGATTTTGTTGTAGTAAATTTACCCTCTTCTAATCTTCCATTCAATAAATACATATTGTTATTTTTACAAAAATTTAATAAATTGTTTCCAAAATTATTCTTTGTTTTATCTAATGATTTTGTTTCCTTGGTACATTTATCTTTTGTAATTCAAATACATTTGAGAGACAGTCTAAACTGGGATCATCTAACTCAAATTCTTGATTTGATATGTCATCTGGTTCAATAAAATCATCTCTATCAGAAGTTCTTGCATTAAAATCTCCAATTAGGCATATATGGCTAAATTCACTCTGTAAATTCAAAAATTCAAGTTCAATTTCTTCAAAAGCTTCCCTTGAACTATATATAGAACTTTCTGGTGGTATATAAACAACACCTAAAATCAAGTCTTTATCTGAATTAATTAAAGAAGATTTTAATCTTAACCAGTGAACAAATTTACACTCTGTGTGAACGATAGTTACATAATCTTTGATAGATTTTTTGTATCCAATTACAATACCACCAGAACGTCTGTTTGAAAATCCGTGCCTATTTTTAGCATCAAACAAAAAATAATTGTGATCAATCGGTGTAGTATCATCAGTTTTTGTCTCTGTAAAACACAATATATCAAAGGAAGAGATAAATGTTGAAAATTCTGGATAATTTATGCGTCTACTTAAACCACAAACGTTTAATCCTAAGATTTTAAGTTTGCAATCAGTTCCAGTGGATGAATCGAGAGAGTCGGTTGGATCACTGTCCACTAAATTGTCACGTGGTAGATTTCCTCCTAGGTTATCCTACCTTTGACTTACTGAGCCGCGTCTGTTGAATGGTCGAAATTCACGGGCCATTGGAGTTAGGCGCGGATCTACGTTGTGTGGTGCCGCTGGTGCGTTGTATGGGTTTTCCTGACCGAAATCTGTCGCCACGAATCGCTCGCCATTGATATAGAGTTTATCCATAACCAGTTGCGCTTTGATGCCCTGTCGTTTAGCTTCTTTGTAATGCGGGTATAATATTTTCCGGTTATCGTTTATTTCCTTGGGAAATTGCTCGAATACACTGAAATCTGCGTTGCCTTGATCGCCTCGTTCCCGAAGATCGGTGATCACCGTGATTGCAGTTTTTCGGACCTTTTCACGATCCTTAAAGTTTACAAATTTTGCCACAACTGCCCGAGATTTTGCCTCTTGCTTCCGGCCCATACGATGTACTCGATGAAATGGAATTTCATCCGTTATTCCGAGTTTTTCAGACATGAACGCTTTTAGTGCCTGCTCACATTGTTCTGAGTGCTATCTCATGCTAATCTCTTATAACAACATTGTGTAATTATCTGTTTTCATGTCCAAACATCAAAGAATCATTGAGTTTATTTAATTAGTCCATACCTGTGAATCTTTCACTCATTTTACTTCATGCCAACACCTGTCATATATTTACTCATTATGTACATTCTTATAAATAGTCATGTATAATTTCAATCTTCAGTCTGGAATAAACGGAGGTCAGTCTCGGCCACGTCCGACTCGTTAGGACTCTGAGTCCGGGGCCACTTCGGCCAAATCCGACTCGATCATTTTAATATGTCTGTCTGTTGATTTATGTAAACTGTTGCCATCGTTGAGACTCATCTAATAAATGCGGAATCCTTCATCATTTGTTTTATCTCTGGAATTGTATATTGGTGGACCTTTGGGAATACGGTACACCTACATGTATACTTTGTTTTTACCTTACGGCCACACAGCGCCTATACCTTATACCTCGTATCCTCTACGCCAACATTCCCTCACCCCGTTCGTTCTGCAAACAACGGATGCAGTTCCAGACGAAATCTTAGTACCGTTCAAATCTTTAAGGTAAAAATCTAAAAACTGAAAGTTATAAAACCTGTTTGGAAATTTGAAAATTTAGATTTTTGAACTAAAATATCAAAATTTAATACTGGTATACCAAATCAGTTTGAGTTTTTGAAATTTAGATATTTGAACTACTATATTAACATTTTAAAACTCAAAATCATTTTAGAAATTTGAATTGTTAAGTGTTACACGGACCAAAATCAAGCGGATATTCTGTAATCTATTATGAAAAGAGAAAGATCGTTCCCATACGTGTACCTCAGATCTAATGATCACATCTCGTTACTTCTTATTTCCGAATCTCATAATCTTCACATGAAAGTGCTTCAATTTCAGATATGCCCTTGGAAATGTCTTCATTCCAGAAGAATTTTATATGCCAAGGCCTTCCAGTCGTGGGTCTACATGTTTATAGGTTTACAGAGAACACTTGAATGATAGGGTTACACTGACCAAGTATTTTTGAAGGCTGTGCTTAAGGTCAGACGACACTTTCCTCAAATATATATAATTTGGATCTCTTGGTACTATATGAAAAATTATTCATATTTGTCATTCTCTTCTGATTTCTACATTATTTTCAAAATGTTTTTAAATATAAGTACACCAAAAATTGTGTTATAGGCCATTTTGAAGATGACCCATAGGGGCTATATAAGAAATATGACCCTATGGTATCTTGGCCAAATGCCTGGTAAGGTACCCTAATTTTTTGTGAGGAAACTTGACAAGTTTATTTACCTTTACTTCAATGACAAATTCTTGGGGAAAATTATATATTTTTGAGGAACGTGTCGTCTGACCTTAAAATCTCTACCTTTAAGGGAATTAAATATTTACATAACCCTGCTTTTCGTGTTTTTCTAATTTTGGGGGAGGATGGGGTGTTGCATCATTTAGTGAATGTCCCTAACCAGGGTATCGATTGATAGTTTAATTTGAGTTTTGAATTTGAGTTGCTGTTCTTTTGGCACACAGGAACGTCTTGCCTACTTTAAGGTTCCATGCACCAAACATATGGGAATCAACTAGGCTGGTCCAGAATAGACAAGAGTACGTATAGGAAGTCTGTTGCTGTCCTACATACCACAAGGTGTAAAGGACGACGACGATGATGATGATGAAAGTTAACAACTCTAAGGCAAACTCATCTGTTTAAAGAATATTAAAACAACAACAAAAGTAACATGCAAGTACTATATACAAAAAAAAAATGAATCACTTATATAAAGTTAATAAGAAATGCACTCTTCTAAAGGTCCATCACCATTTTTACAAAAGAAATTAAAATTGATTATGGTAATGGTGAGTGTCACAATATAAAGGCAAATAAAACTTTGCCCAGTAAGGGAAAATCACGTCTGCTAAGCACGCAGCAAATGTCATGCAAAGTCACACACAGCGCCTGGTAAAATGCAATGCATAGAAAAGTATGAGCACAGTGACACTGTATGTACTAGTACGTGTAGTACACTATGTACGTGTAGTCAAACACTTGGATCCATGAAAGCACAGTCAGTACACGGTACTATGATGGTTGTGACGTAAGCACTGAGAAGGTCTTTAAAATAACACTGTAAAGTCAGGCACTTGGGTCCATAAAAGAATACAATACAATCAGTTGCTCTCAGTGCACAGTATTCTGATGGATGTTGCAGTCAGTGGTCAGTGTGTCTCGGATTCTTGCAAACTACATGTGTATCTATCCAATACCTACGAGACATGAATACATACAGTCTTAGAATATTTATCAAACTTTACAGGTTGTGAAAAGGGACATTCAGCATCCAACGGGGTTTTTTTTTTTTTGGGGGGGGGGGGAGGTAGTTGTAATTTTTTTTTCAATGCTGGAGAAAAACTTGAAGTATAAAAACACTTCCATAAGGGCACATGATTTTATGGTTTCTTCAATCCATGAAAACAACGAGAGAAAAAAGCCCAGAAAATTAGGGAGTTCAATCATATATCTAATATACTGGTTTCCGGTGTTTAACTCACCAAAATCCTCCTCTTTAGCAGTGTTTAGTAGACGTAAAAAGAGGAATTCAGGTCTTGTTTCTTGGAGACTTTATTACGTCTCTGTTCTGGTAAGTTACGGCGCATGGGTCTGTGCTTAAAATTCACTCTAGCCAACCACTCCATCTACAAGACACAAACATCGTAAATGACAGTTAAATATGACTTAAATGTTCAAGAAAAAGGAAAAGAAAAGCTTCATACTTATATTTATGACCACAAGGTGTTATATAATTGCGTTTGAACAATGTGAGTGCAGCACGTACCTGATGCGTAGGTTGAGGTATGGTGGGTAGCTCCCTACGCTCCTCGGACTTGTTGATGGCATGGGTCAACTCATACTAACAAAAATAGAAGTTTTCTTAGTTTCTTATCAAACAAAGAACATTCATATAACCAAAAGAAAAATAAGCATTTATAAATGCCATGAAATGGGTATTAACACATAGAAATACGATACATTTTGATGTTTTGATCTTGAACAATTTCCACATTAAGACTCTTACCCAGTCTTTAATGTGCTCTCTCCACTCGTGAGCAGCAGAAGTAAAGACTGGTTTGCCCTGGAGAGAAAGGATAGATATTATAGAGAGTATTCACGAGAGAGAGAGAGAGAGAGAGAGAGAGAGAGAGAGAGAGAGAGAGAGAGAGAGAGAGAGAGAGAGAGAGAGAGAGAGAGAGAGAGAGAGAGAGACTTACAGTTGATTTGGCCGCCAGGGCAAGCATCACCTCGTACCACTGACGACTGTCATCCGATGAGACGTCTATACGGCCCTAAAACAAAATGAAAACAATGAAAATTAATGTCTATTATTATTGAAGATAAGGAATTCATTATGTTTGTCTTTCTTATCTGCACTTCAAGGTATATATTAAAATTATATAAATTAAATACTGTATGCATTCCTGGTTTATTTATAGTTTACATGTAGCTGAAAACATTTTTATCTACTTTTAGTTGAAAGCAAAAAAATCCAAATTCCCTTTAATTTCCATCAAAATACACGTAATATATCTATGTCAATTTGAATTGCAAGAAAATATATATTTCTTGAAATTTTATCATGTTCGTTAAGTGACTACGACTAACTTATGTTCGTTGAAAACTGTCCTTCATTTGCAAATATATATACATTGGGGTTGCTGATATAGACATCCCCGCCCTCTTTATCAAAGGGGGGCAACTCAACATTCGTTTGTTATTGAGTAGGCTCCCCTACATTTATTTACAAATGTTCGCGTTCGTCGACCTAGACAGGTCACAACAAATGTTTCTTCAACACATTGTACCTTATACAGTAAGTATGCATTCAAAATTGATGTGATCGAAATTGGATTCAGCAGAAAAATTGCGGGTTATTTTAAAAGAAAAAGCCCGATAAAGATTTTGTGTATTTTCGTAGGGCCTACCACATTTCCTCTGATTCTGTGAACATTGTGTTTTTGCTCGTTCAGAGACGTATAATAGATCTGTTTCACGTCTCTATAGTTTGTTTAGCTTTAAAGATAGGGTATAGAATAATGATCTTACAGTTTTTCAATAGACTTTATATTTACCGGTAACCCATCCCCTACCTCCTCATGAATTACCCCCTCCGGGTCTCTCCCTATTTCAATATTATTATCAGCACCAGAGCTTACATTACAAATCTCTGTTTTTATTTTAAATACCTATATAGAATCTAGGAGATCTATTTAACTTGCACTTTTTCTTCAGATGTCATCTCTCGATTGTTTTAAAATAGGCGATTTGTGCTAGCTAGAATAGATCTACCCTTTGCCGTCTTTGAAATTTGTGTACCCCCCCTCCTCCAACCCCAATGGCAAAGTTGGGCGTTTCTCATAAAAATCAAGCATTTAAGACCAATAAAATTTTATTTCCTGAAGAATTACCCTCTTAGACACACTCTGACTCTTTCTCTCTGAAGATCTTTGTCTTTTCATTGTGAAATTTGTGATTTTTTGCGCTCTGTGAAATGCACGTCTGATCGCTACTGATCGAAGTGAGTAACTAACAACAGTAACCAAAACGCAACGCTACCTAGCAGTTACCAAGCATGACGTCATCACCAAGAACAACAAGTAAAGCTAGGCCGCAAATGTTTGCTACAAATTGAAAAAAGTAAAATCATTGATGACTTACCTTTTGTTTTTCCTTTCTTAAGTTAATCCTTTCAGTATATTAGAAAAATTAGTCTGTTTATCATGTTCATGTTGTTGATTGACATGTGACGTCATAATACTGGAAGTGCAATAGCCTAGTTCCCGCCACATTTTATTGTACATGTAGCCTAGGTCACAGGTTTGCTGTTGTCATCAATTTTCACAAAACTTCTGCCAGAGTTCATTAATACAAAACGAGACGAAGAGACAATCTGATTAAAATCCTTTAATCCTTTGATCCACCCAAATAGATCGCTAAAACCTTGTTGGGAAAAACGTATAAGACATGTTACTTGTCCTTTATATGATTCAATTTTTACTATTGTCCATCTTTTACATGTATGCGATAAAATATGCACCGGTCCGTTGATTTTCCACCCGTCATTCAAATTTCTCAAACCTTTATTTTTTTTGTTATAATAATGTTAATTTTTTAATATCCCACCTGCACATTTTGTGCAAATTTTCTCCGAAGAACATTTTGGAAAAAGCTGTTTTTTTTCCATCTCGTTAATGTTTTTTTTAAAATAAAAATGCAACTATTTCTTTTCTTTTTTTTTTTTACAAATATCCTTCTTTCTATCTTCTGTGCATGGTTTTCAGCTCAAATTAATTAACCATTATTACTTTAAAAGTAAATATCTTTGCAGAGTCTGTATGAAAAATCATGCAGTTTTCAAATGTATATATGATCTCGAGTGTAAAAAGATAAGCAAGTCTATCCTCCTTTATTTAAAAAACCCCCAAACAAATATTGCATAATTACTTATCGCGACAAGGAGCACACGGCTGGTGTGACCGGTCGGTAGGGGATGCTCACTCCTTCATGGTACCGATTCCACCCCTGATGTTTTAAATGTCCGTGTTTGCTCGACTTCACTGATATTTAAAATGGACTTTTGACCTTGAATACTGTTCGTTTTCTCCATATATATTTCATACAGAGAATTTTGACAGTCCAATAACGGTACCGCATTTTGTACCACATTCTCGATCGATCTTGTAAAATTTTAAATACAAAAAATTAGGTACTTATTTATCTTATCTCCGAACAACAATTTCTGGATACAAATTCTTGAATATTTTGCTGAAACTTACAACTTACTATATAACTTAAGAATGCAGAAAACAGTTATCGCTCTTCTTATGCATTTTATCAATATACCGACAAATCTTCACAAAGACATTCAATAAAATTAGAAATCTTACAACTGCTGCGAAATGCAGATTGAATCAATATGCCAATATTACTTTCTAAAGGAAAAAATGCACTAAGCCGAGGGAACAATTTTATTTAACAAAATTAATTAAAAAGGGAGGCTTGTTTTATTAAAAGATCGTACAACTTGTACAAAATTTCAATTGTGCTTATTACTTTCTATTATACATTGATTTCAGATCGTAATTTTTAAATTTAGAATTTAACAACAAATTTTTATTCCTATAAATTTTAAAATTTGGTTACAGGTTACCTGACATAGGTGTGATTATATTTAAAAAGAATATATGATTTCAGAGTTGCACTTTACTTTTGATTTGATATGGTGAATGATAGGGGATTGAGATTTTCTCTTTGATTACGTCTGTTTCTCATCTCTCTCTTTCTCCCCTCTCTCTCTCTCTCTCGATTTGTCCGAATAAATGTGTCTCTTAAAAACCTGAATATTACCCATCAGTTTGTACATATTGACACAGAATCCATGTCTAGGCAACCCGTTCTTGTCCAATTCTTCCATATTTATTTAGAAGCATTTTGGAGGGATATAATATTCATACAAAAAAAACCCAAAAAAAACAGAGACATAAATACAATTCAAAATGAGAAAAAAAGGGTTTTTCAATAGCGCATAACTTGAATTAAAGAAAGGTTGAAAATTGTGAGGGGGGCAAAATACTTTTAACACCCATTGATACTGTATCAGAGAGAGAGAGAGCGAGAGATTTTACACTGACTTGTTGCTGATCTTATTTAAGCCTGAAGCTTACCATAAACACACATGACTTAACACAAAGTCAGTCAGCTTTAAGATAAATGTCTGTTAAAATTAATTAGTTTATATGATTCTGGATCCCAAGCTAATAGCAATGCATTACGTATTTTCTTATCGGCTCTGCGGCTCAAACTACTTCAGTTGCAGCGGATTTTTGAAACGCTGCATTGTTAAGTTGTCCTTCAACATTTCTGGCAATTACTCTTTCATTTGCCATTAAAAATATGATTCCAGAGATAAGGGATCAGGGACGTGATGTACAACATCGATCTCAGAGATGAATTCAAAAACCACAAACAAAACGGTTTTTGAAAAATTTTGTCGGAGATATGATTTATAACATCACTCCGAACAATACGCCTTACCTTGGGCCTGGTACAAGTTTACACAATCCCAGACAGGCCATAGCCAAAACTAAACTGATAAATCGCAATATCGACAGACTACGATCTTTGATGAGAAAAAATATATCCCTCTTTGTCAAATTCAATTTACGAAACCATACAGGATAAATGAGACTTTATTGATGCTTTTCTTTCACTATCATAACACTTTGTGATAAAATGTACAGATAACTAACCTTTTTGTTAAATATTGTCTGTCAATGTTTTGCAGGAATGTGAGATAGGAACTGTCTTTCACATTATTAAAATGATTTTTAAAAAATATATATATATATATATATAAACGGAGATGTTACAACAGACATGCTACCCCTGCAAGGTTCCTTGATATTTATATCTATTTTTGAATTTAATATTATTCAATCAAAGGACATTAATGAAATAAGTAAAGAAAACAAATAACAATTGATCTCCAAAACCTGCAAACAATACAAAACTGTAAACACCAACTAAAATGACCCCAAGAAATGCCAGATGAGGAATCAGGTGCCCGGGTTGAGTAAGCATCCCTTGCTGTACAGTCACACCCTCCATGAGTCCGTTGTATTAAATAGTTAGAAATGAATTATCTGTATTCGAAAAAAGACAAGCTATATCTTATAGTCTGACGTTTTTGCAATAGCTTGCCAATATGTACGTATTGAGGACCAAGACATCATTAATTTCATTGATAATCCTTTCAAGTCCGATAAGATATATCTTGTTTATATTCTGTTGTTTACAAAGTTTGATTTAAAAAAATTTCCCCCGTACTCATGCAGATATTCTCAGAGCAGAAAGTCTTATTTTTGCGAATTCATTTGTCTTTGTCTCTCTAAGGAGTCGCGTCAATGGTTTGAGTGCATGTTTTTCAATATTTTTATATTTGTTAGTTTTCAGTAATAAGAGATAGAATGGCGTTTCAATTATTCAACGATGAGCAATTTGTCATTCATAACAACCGAGGTAACCTGACGTAATTGATGTATTTTCCCCCTTTTTTTGTTTTTATCGCGGCTCAAAGTCAACTCTTATTGCATTCCAAACAATTCCAAACAATTTCTTAACCACTCTAACTGAAAGGAATACTGTTTCGGTCACTAAAACAAAATTTTACCGAGTGGTCATGCATCCGTAAAGATGTCTCATTGTAATGATATTGACATTTTTTGACCATCTGCTGTGCACATGTCCTTCTTTGTAATTCAAGATACTGTATATAAATGCTTACTATACTAGTAAAAAAAAGATAGCTTTAGAAAGTTCTATAATTTGTAATTGACTTCCGTAATAAAAGTCATTGTGGATGTTTGAATTTCAAAGCTTTGAAGCATAGAAGACTAGCCCTTATTTTTAACTTAAGTATACCATATATCAAGCGAAAGCTCAATCAAGAGCCAGACTTTTTACAAATGTTGGTTAATCCCTGTTTCAACTCCGGAAAAGTGTAATCATCATTAAAATGCGAGACGAGATTAAGTTGTGTAGTGTGGAATGAAAACAACCATTCCAAGGTTCATAAATGCCTGTTCCTTAGACGGAGGAATTCCAATAAAGAGAAAATGAGGGGGTGTGGAAAAAATCTATTTCCAAGGTCTCGTTTTACATGTAAGACAAAGTCGTGAAAATCTTGTTAAGGGGTTTGGAACAAATTTGAAACATCTATATCTTAATAATTATCAATTTAAGTTTTTTTCATGTTCATCATATTGCATGTTTTGTTGTTTTAATGTGAATTTAAAATAAGTAAACTTGATGAAACATATGGAGTTAACGAACAGTATTTAAAATCAAAAGTCCATAAACAATACAAAATAGGAGCAGAGCAAACACGGACCTCCAAAACATCAGAGGTGGGATTGGGTGCCATGGAGGAGTAAGCATCCCCTGCCGACCGGTCACACCCGCCTTGTGCTCCTTGCCATGATCGAGAAATAACGGAAAAATCCGTCGTCAAATCAGTGTATAAATCATAGACTAACAATAAGTATACTAAAAGTCTTTTTCTTTGCATGCAAAAGCTTCAGGTCTGTTCACTTCCTGTTCACTTTTGAAGAATTGCATTGGTGAAGCCATCGTGTAATCGTCATTTAACCAATGACATTTTGAAATAGTGAAGTACTAGTAAAAGAGAAATGATGACAATTCTGTACTAGGAGAAAACATTTTAAAAACATTTTCTATCAAAAAAACTGTTTTTATGTTTTATTCCCGTAATAACGAACAACACGCACGATAAAGCATTACTTGATATATACACTCCAATGGATGAAAGATAAAACTCACTAACATTATGGAGACCGCCATCCAGGAAATCAAATGATTCCATAATAGATTTATTCCTTTTACATTTTTAAATTACAACTAAAACGAGGATTCGAGATAGACGAGATGGAGAACTCGAAGA